GACTCGCTTGAGCCCAGGAGTTGGAGGTTGCTGTGAGCTGTGGTGCCACGGCACTCTACCCAGGGGGACAGCTTGAGGCTCTGTCTCAAAAATAAAATAAAATAAAATAAAATTGTGTTTTGTTAATGTATGATTGCTTTCTAGCAGTGCTTGATAGGTGTAATTGACAATACTACTAGAAATCACTCCATTTTATCCCTGATGTTCTTTAACTTCGTGATGTCATATTTTGGTTCATGTTATTCATTCATATTTCTGAGCATTCACTAAGCCCTGCCAATTTGAAATCTTACATTCTTCAGCTCTGTGGAACTTTCATGTATTACTTCATTGACAATTTCTTCCCATTTTTTTCTTTCTTTATAGAAATTTTTTTTATTTGGTGTTATTTCTATTGGATTTCACCTCTAAATTTCCCCACTTTTTCCTACTGTGCCCTTGATTAGTTATTTGCTAGTTTTGGCTTTTTGGAAGATTTCCTTAATTTTTTCAAGCTTTCTATTTGACTTTTCATTTTTGTTATATTTGTGATTCCTAAGAACTCTTCATATTCTTTATTACTTTATAATAGTATAATTTCCTCCACCTATAAATTTCTTTCCTATCTCCATGAAAATATTAAATATAATATTTGGTTTTAAGATTTTTATGCTTTATGAATTCTGTTTCTCCACCTGTTCCCCTTATGTTTGTTTGTGTGGTCTCTTTTGCATATATTAATCTTTTCTCTAATGGGTGAAGCCCTCAAGGTTCTCTGCATTTATTATGAGTGAGGTACTAAAAGGTTGATTAAAATCTGTGTGGGGTTGTCTCCTTAACTGATAGGTTTCAGACAATGACTATGTCTGAGATGGCTTATTTTTTAGAACACTCAGAAACTGATATTTCTCATGAGCTAAAAGTAAATCCATTTTTCCAAAGAATAATCCTTGAAGTTTTGTATAGGGGATAGAAACTTTCATGCTGACATTCTAGAAGTTAGATTGGAAAAGGAAGATGAGGTCTCCTCATATAGAGTGAAGAATTTCTCTTAATTTTCCTTCTATCAGAAAAAGAACATACCCTCATGTTTTGTGTAACTGGTGCACCTAGGCCATTGACCCTGGTCTTCTGCTGTGGTGGGCCAGATGCCATCAATATAATCTGGCTGTCCTGGCTGATAGATGGATAGGGACACAACACTATGCTAGAAAATATCCTGTGATGATGGGAATGTACTTTTATGCTGCCCGGTAAAACAATCACTAGCACTTGACATACGGCTAGCAAAATTGAGCAACTGATTTTAAAGTTTTATTTAATTTTAATTAATTTAAATTTAAGTGTGTACATGTGGCTAATGGTAACCATATCAAACAGTAGAGATCTACAGCTTAGAGCATTCCTTGTAGAAAATTTTAAACAATACTTCTTGCCTCACCCTCCAAGTCCAGATTTAGAAGTTAACTAGTATCTCCCTTTCCTGAGTCTTTCCTGACTTCTGCACTGATGACCGACTTGCCTTTTCTTGGCCTGCTTTAAGCATTGTTCTAACCATCAAAAGCACTTATAACAGAAGGGACCAATCTGAAGCCTGGGTAAAATAGCATTGATTCAACTTTTTTCATTTTCTGTGATATGTTGATTTATCTCATTTGCTATCATCTTTTTTCAACTATTTTTGTCATTGTTTACATCCTTTCATCCTACAATCCCCTTAGAGTAAAACTAGTATGGTTTCAAGGGGAGCCATTGGAAAACTGGACTGTGGTTTTTCCACTCAATTTTATTCTTATATTTAAATAACTTATTCCTTGTTTTAGCTTCATTATCATTTGAATTCAGTGGTAGCTCCAGAATTTCTACATCTATGGCGTGGCGTGGGAAGGAATCTTTCAAGGGGTAGAAATGAAGCTTAGAATATTGTCTTGAAGCTGAGTCTGCAGAGCAAACATAGGTTTCTAAATAAGATGTATACTTATTTGGGGCAACTAAAAAGTATGTGTTGATGGAAATTGTGGTAGAGTTAATGCATTCCCTAAATCATACCCTCTATATACTCAATATTAATAGTTATTTTAATATTTTTCAAATTTCTGAACGTTATGCATTCATGGGTTGCAACCACCACTTTTTAGAAATATTAGAGTATAGAAGTGGATAGAAAATGTTGGAATAAAGCTAAGTTTTTTATTTGTCTGTTTTTCTTAATAAACATGAGTGCGTGTGAGGATACAAAATGTATTTCTCACTGTTGGTCAAGTTCAGAAAAGTTTGAAATTCAGTGATTTAGTTAACTTGACAGTATATAAAAATTCATATTTGTATGGACCATATTTTTGACTTATATTTTTCCAGTAATTGGACTTTAGGGCATGACACATTGGAATTCAAATATGAATCATCCAAACCTTCATTGCTAAGGGGGATGCATACATATTTCTCAAATTTTTCTCCTGCATTGAATCTTCCTTGTTATCACCTAATTCTTTGTCCCAGCAAAAAATGAGAATAGGTGAAGTAAATAAGCCCGACCAAAAATATTGAGAGCAACTGCTTTAGACCAGTGAATTTGTATTTATTTTTTGAATAAGAAATCACTTGCACAGTTAAACTTTTTAAAGATAGAATATAGTACGTAGTGAAAAATATTCCTTTTTACCCCTATTTTCTTGTCAATACAAAACCCAACCTTCCCTGAGTAGAAATTAGTCTCATGTGCTTATTTTGTGTATGTCCCATATATGTATATGTATTTCTTATTTTTATTATTATTTTTTTTGAGTCAGTCTCACTATGTCACCATTGGTAGGGTGCTGTGGCATCACAGCTCACAGAAACCTCAAACTCCTGGGCTTAAGTGATTCTCTTGATTCAGATTCCCAAGTATCTGGGACTACAGGCACCCACCACAATGCCTGGCTACTTTTTTGTTGTAGCTGTCATTGTTGTTTAGCAGGGCCTGGTGCATGTGGCTGGCACCCAAACCACTGAACTACAGGCGCTGAGCCCATTCCATATATTTTTAAAAGTATACTAGCAAAGTATACATATTCCTTCTTTGTATACAGTAGTAGATACTATCTATATACACTGTTCTGCACTTTGTTGATTTTACCTAACTATATATATTTAAAATTATTTTTTATCAGCACACAATGTTTTCTCACTTTTTATGGCTGTATAATATTCTACCACCATGGTAGAACATAAGAAGTTTAACCTGTTGTCTACTAGCAGATAGTTGATTGTGTAAAATTTCTTTATGACAATGTTTCATTAAATACTTTGTGTAATGAAGGAAGGATTAGGAGGATGGGGCTTATAGCCAGAGGGTCATCATTGAGTAACTCATTTCACTTATGAAAGTCTTTGTTTCTCCACCTGTAAATATTAAGAAAGGAAAAGAAAATATGAACTGCTTCAAAGAATTATGTGTCAGTCTTGCAGAGGGGCCATGCTAATCTTTTCTGTATTGTTCTCATGTTAGGATATGTGCTGTGAAGCAAGTGATGACTAGCTTTTATATGCATCATTCTACAAATGTGTAGGTACATTTGCCAAATTCTTAAAATTGGAGTTGCTGGGTAAAAATTAATTTAAATTGATAGCAACACATTATATTGTTCTCTGTGTAGGTTGTATGAATTTTTAATTCTCCTACTGTTGAGTGTTTCCATTTTCCTCTTCCTCAACAAATTAGTGATGCAGTAACTTTTATATGATTTTTGCCAAACCAATGAGTGAAAACACACATCTCCTTGTAAACTTAATTTGTATTTTTCAAATTATGAGTAGGCTGAGCACCATATCACAGATTGAAGCCATTTGTGTTTTCTTTTGATTGAACTGCTTATAAACTATTGCTTATACTGCTTATGAACTGTTTGCCTATTTTTATAAGTTGTTATTGATTTGTAGGAACTTTTTATGTTTGAAAGAATAAGTCCTTTGTGACTTGATCTACACATTTTTTCCCAGCCTGTCATTTAACTCTTGATGTTTACTTATGTTGTCTTTTCTAAGCATAAAAGTTTTTGACCCTTAGACAGTGTGAGGGTGCTCACTACTCACCCCTACATAGTCAAAAATTTACATAAAACTTTTCATTTTCTTATTTATTTATTTATTTTTTTATGGAGACAGAGTCTCACTTTGTCTCCCTCAGTAGAGTATCGTGCAATCATAGCTCACGGCAACCTCCACCAACCCCGGGTCATTTGGTTTAAGTGATTCTCTAGCCTCAGCCTCCCAAGTAGCTGAGATTACAGGCACCTGCCAGAATGCCCGGCAATTATTTGGTAGAGACGGAGTCTCACTCTGGCTTATATGCTGGTCTCAAACCTCTGAGCTCAGGGCAATCCACCCTCCTCAGCCTCCCAGTCTGCTAGGATTACAGGCGTGAGCCACCACACCTGGCCCATAAAACTTTTGATTCTCCAAAAACTTACCTATTAATAGATTGTTTTTTTTTTTTAAGTTTTGTGTAGAATGGTGCCTTCCAATGTTGTCTAATCTGGACTTGAACTCCTGGCCTCATGTGATTCCCCTGCCTCAGCCCCTCAAAGTGCTGGGATTACAGATGTGGGTCATTACTTCCAGTCCCTAAATAGCTCCTAATGTTGACTGGAAACTTTTTTTTTTTTCCGGAGACAGACTCTCATTGTCACCTTCAGTAGCATGCTCTGGTGTCATAGCTCATAGCAACCTCAAACTTGGGCTCAAGTGATCCTCTTGCCTCAGTTTTTCTATTTTTAGTAGAGACAGGGTATCGGTCTTGCTCAGGCTGGTCTTGAATCTGTGAGCTCAGGCAATCCACCTGCCTTGGCCTCCCGGAGTGTTGGGATTTCAGGTTGGAGCCACCATGCCCGGCTGGAAACCTTACTGATATTATAAACAGACCACTAACAGGAATTACATATGGGTTACATATATATTGTATGTGTGTATATAGTACATTAGTATCATATGCTGTGTTCTTTAGTACACTGGAAAAAAGAAAATGTTATTCAGAACGTCATAAGAAAGAGAAAACATACTTACTACTCATTCAGTGGAAATGTGTCATCATGGAGTTCTTCATCCTCCTTGTCTTCAGGGTGAGCAGGCTGAGGAGGAGGAGAAAGGTGAGAAGGGGGTCAATCTTAGTGTCTCGGGGTGGCAGAGGTGCAAGAAAGCCTCGAGTATAAGTAGACCCATACAGTTCAAACCTCTGTTGTTCAAAAGTCAATTGTGTTTTATTCTTGGTTTTTTGGAATATTCTAAGAGGTTTTCCTAAGAAGAAGATAAAGCAATGTTCCCATTTTTCCTTCTAGCACTTTTTGGTTTATTATCCTGACATATACTTAAGATGTGGCTGCACCATAATTTTTTCCAAATAGGTGCTTTGTTATTAAAAATGTGTATGCATATTAAAAATGGTCTCAAACTACATAAAATACATTTTTAAACTACAAAGAGAAACAAACAGTCAATCTTTGGCAGACTTTTTTTAACACCTTACTCTCAACAATTGATAGGTCAAGCATTTAAAAAGCCTAGTAAAGGCTTGGCACCTGAGACAAGAGAATCGCTTAAGCCCAAGAATTTGAGGTTGCTGTGAGCTGTGATGCCACCGCACTCTACTCAGGGCAACATAGTGAGACTCTGTCTCAAACAAACAAACAAACAAAAAATATCTAGTAAAATGGACAAATCCCTAGCAAGAATGATCAAGAGAAAAAGGAAGGTGGAACAAATAATTAAATCTGGTACTAGGACTTTTAAAAAGGGCTTATCAATATAAATTCTATGGCAACTATCAATTCTATCACAAATTGAATACATTTATCAATAACAAAGTGACAACATTTTAATAAATAGAATTACTAAAATGGCCACACAATGAAATTGAGAATGCACAATCCTATAACTGTTTAAGAAATTGGATCTGCAATTAAAGACTTTTCCACCAAAGAAGATCCAAGCACAGATTGCTTCATTAATTTACTTATTTATTTATCCATTCTCCTTTCTCTTCCATCATGTGACAGATTGCTTCACTATTAAAGTTTAGTGTAATATTTAAAAAGAGTAAAGAACACCAACCTTACACGTATTCTTTCAGAATATTAGGGAGAAGAAAACAGTTTGTAGCCATGAGATCCTTGATGTTACGTGAAAGAGAAATGACAGACTGGTCTCTCTTATGAACATAGATGCAGAAATCTAAACAAAACATACTGGTAGCCAGCCAATCTTACAGCATATAAAGGAGGTAGCACCATAACAGTTAAGTTCATTTCACAAATATGAGGTTAGTGCAGCATTAAAATATGAGTGTAATTTGACATATTAGAATAAAAGAGAACTATAACAGTATTGCTTCAATAAAGTAGTAATGACCCATGCTAAAATCCCACATCCATTCATGATAAAAAAATTTTGTAAACTAGGAACAGAAAGGAACACTCCTAATCTGGCAAAGATTATCTGTAAAAAAAACCTATCATAAACATGATTCTTTTTTAAAAAAAATATTTCAGATTAAGATGGGGGTTGCAAACAACATAACCTAATCATTTATTATTTATTTGTTAGGTAAAGTTCACATTGTAGTTGAACCCTGCACCTGTGGGGTATGCTGTATACCCTTATAATGTGCCCATTCGGTGAGAGCTTAGCATTGATAAATGTGATTCTTTTTTTTTTTTTGAGACAGAGCGTCACTATGTCACCCTGGGTAGAGTGCTGTGGTATCACAGCTTACTGCAACCTCAAACTCTTGGGCTTAAGCTATTAAGCGATTAAGCCTCCTCTCAAGTAGCTGGAATTATAGGTGCCTGCCACAGTGCCTGGCTATTTTTTGTTGTAGTTGTTATTGTTGTTTAGCTAGCCCAGGCTGGGTTCGAACCCACCAGCCTTGGTGTATGTGGCCAGCACCCTAAACACCAAGCTATGGGTGCCGAGCCATAAATGTGATTCTTAATGATTAAATGTTGAAAACTTTCCTTTGTGGTTAGTATGTGACAAGTATACCTAATATCAAGATGTATATTCTACCTTTCATTGGAGGTTCTATCCAGTAGTGTAAGAAAAGAAAAATAAATAAAATGAGTAAATATTTGAATAATATTTAAGAGACAATGAAGAAATGAAATTGTCATCATTTATAAATGATAGCTATATATGGAAATTCCTAAGAAATTCCCAGATAAAGTAGGTGAATTCAATGGATATACATTTAACAAATATTAAATGTATTTCTATAATCAACCATAAAAGTAAACTAAATTTTAATAGTTACTTTTATAATATTACAAAAAATGAAAACATTATAAACTAATCTAATCAGATGTCTGAAATATCCATGCCAAAAACTTCACTTTTTATTTTTATTTTTTTGAAACAGAGTCTCACTTTGTTGTTCTGGGTGTCATAGTTCACAGCAACCTCAAACTTTTGGGCTTAAGAGATCCTCTTGCCTCAGCCTTCC